AAAGTAGATATGGCAATGTGGGCTAAGTTCACTTGGACCGACCTAGGCAACTATATATCAATAGTTATGCTGTGCAACCGAATGCACCATGCGCATGGTGCATACGATGCAAAATGACGTCGTTTTGACTAAAAACGCGCGACCCATTTTAAAAAAAAAAAAAAAAAATTCAGGTTCGATTCTCGGCAATAGCATTATTGTGGATATATAGTTATGAATTTCTGGATATATAATTATGAATTTATGGATATTTAGTTCATTCATTGTGGATATTTAGTTCATTCATTGTAGATATTTACTTCATTTATTCACTGTGGATATATAGTTATGAATTTATGGATATATAGTTATGAATTTATGGATATTTAGTTCATTCATTGTGGATATTTAGTTCAATCATTGTGGATATTTAGTTCATTCATTATGGATTTTTACTTCATTCATTCACTGTGGATATATAGTTATGAATTTATGGATATATAAAAATGTTATTGCCAGGAATCGAACCTGATTTCTTCTTTAAGTTGGACGCGCGTTTTTTAACCAAAACGACGTCGTTTTGCATCGAATGCACCATGCGCATGGTGCATTCGGTTGCACAGCATAATTTGCGACTATATATCAATCGCTATGTTGTGCCGTTAGGCACTGTTATCTTCTCCTTCTCCTTTTTAAAAAAAAAAAAAAAAAAAAAAAAATCAGACCGCTTCGTTATAGGAGTATATGTTCATAATTTTATTACTATATGTTCATAATTGTAAGTTCATAATGTCAGAGCTCTATGTTCATAATTCCATAACTGTACATTCATACTTCTGTACATTCATAATTCCGTAACTGTACATTCATAATTCAATAACTGTAACTTCATAATTTTCGAAGCTCTATGTTCACAATTTTAGAGCTCTATGTTCATAATTTTATCACTATATGTTCATATTGTAAGTTCATAATGTCAGAGCTCTGTGTTCATAATTTCATAACTGTACATTCATAATTGCATAACTATACATTCATAATTGCATAACTGTACGTTCATAATTCCGTAACTGTACATTCATAATGCAATAACTGTAAAATCATAATTTTCAAAGCTCGATGTTCACAATTTTAGAGCTCTATGTTCATAATTTTATCACTATATGTTCATAATTGTAAGTTCATAATGTCAGAGCTCTGTGTTCATAATTTTATAACTTACATTCATAATGCCATAACTGTACATTCATAATGGCACAAACGAATAACGCCGTTAACAGCGTTAACGGCGAGACAAAATAAAAAAAAAAATTCTTTTTAATTGAAATGATGCGTTTTTCCTGAAAACAACGTCGTTTTGAACCCGTGTCCACAATGCATCGTGGACACAAGTCCACTGCATAATTTGCGACTATATATCACGTGATATTGTATTTGGGCCTTGCTAGGTCACCTTTTATGTAATATAAGTTGGGCCGATTAATGCCCAATTTTTTTTATTTGTTATTTTTTTTTTGTTAGCTTATAGTCTAAAAATGTAATGGTTTAAAATTATTTTTTTTTAAAGTCAATCTGGCGGTTGTATTTATAGAAGAGTTAAAATAGAGTCTGGTAGGACATTGTCCCAGTACATAGCAGTAGCGAAACCAAGTGTTGAAGTAGCTAAAGTATGAGCTAATAAATTCTGTAATCTAGGAATGTAAATTACTGAACAATAAGTAAAGGTAGATATATAGGTCATTAAGTAAAAGTCTATTTAATATGTAGGTCATTAAAGAGATTATATTGTAGGTTTTAAATAGATTTGTCTGTTTAAGATCTACATGTTATACACTTTATAAGGCTTATATATTTGTAAAAGAAAAATTAAATATAATATAACAATAATAGACGAACATTTGCACTCGTAAGTCACAACAAGGGCAATAAGTGTGCAAGTAGTGACAACAATAAGCATCCTCAACTTCAATTGAATTTAAAAATAAAAAATAAAAAATAAGATAATAACTCAAGATCAACTGTTGATCAATCAAATGTCTCACCACTACTTCCACTATTGCTACTATGCAATATATAAGGATGAGTTTACTACTCCGCTATGGGAAAAACAAGGAGAGACGAGAAAGTGTGACAATTGCAAATTGAGAATTTAAGTTTTAGTGGTTAATTATCTTAAAATTATTTGTTCGAGTTAGTTTTATTTCATTTATTAGTTCCCTTAGCTCGTTTAGTTATTATTTTGGGCCCTATTCCATTCCTTGGGCCGTAATTTTTGTATTTGGGCTGTCATTCTGGACCTGTACCTCGGGCTTTGTACGTACTATTTTGGGCCTCGCGTCCCGAGTAATAAAGCTATTCTTTTCTTACCCCTATTCTATGTTTCCATATCCAATTTATGGTGGACTCGTCCCAATAAAACCATCCATTTAAATTACTAAAATGTCCGCTGAATTTCCTAAAACTTAATGCTATATTACATTTTCATTTACTAGAGGATCAAAATTCAAAACTACTACAGTTGCATAAAGTCAATCGAACATATATTTTACTATTTTTGACAATGAGAACCAAAACAATCTGTCATGAATTATTAAGGGACAACAATAATTTTTTATACGCCCAAATTTCATATTGCTGAACATAAATAATTGGCGTAGTATCTTGGCATAATGTAGTTAATTCATCATTAGTTATGTTCGTGATATCTTTTGTAATCTCATTCATGACAATGATTCTTAACAAGTTATAAACAGGTTTTTAATATGTTTAACGAATTGACCCATTAAGACACGAAACATAACGGTTCAATCCGTTAATCATCGAGGACACATTAATACTAAACACTAATTCATTATTTTTGTGTCGTGTCCATAATTGTCAAGTGTAACTGGAATGCATGCCATCACACCAGATGACCTCTTACCATTAGATTTAAAAGACTATTGGTATAACAATATGATAGGCTTTTGTCTCAAGGAACAAGTTAGGAATGGGAAAAACATTTTTGATAAGTTCATTTATCAAATAGTTTCATTATCTGGTAAGTTCATTTATTCATGTAAATAGTATTCACGGAAATGGACTATTACCCTTTCAAGGGTAATGTTATTACTTTTGTAAGAGGAATAGCTCAATTGTTATATTGTAGACCGAGGTTTATCATGCGTATAATGGATTTTGTCTAGATCTTGTCTAGATTACGTACATATTGTTAATAAATTATGTATTTATTACAATTAACATATTATATACATGCAGTTAACCTATTATGTACCTTCATTTTATTTATTATAATTTGTTAATTTGACTATCATTTTGAACCACGGTCCACAATGAAATGTGAATCCTAATCCATAGTATAATTTGCGACTATTCCAAATTGGACGATATTAGGCTATTCATGAGTTCTCATAAATAACATATTTTCATAATGCATAATTTCCTTTTTATCATTTTTTTAATGTATAGTAATTAATTAATTATTACACACTATTTATTTATTTCTTTTTTTTTTTTAAGACAACCAAATATTAAAATATAATTTTTAAGATCTATTAATTTTGCCAATCAAACAATGAAATAAAATTATTAGTATATTCATTCTTGAAACAAGTATGCTGTAGAAGATTATTGTACTTGAAAGATCAAAGTTTAAATTACTAATTGATTTATTTTTAATTTTTAAAAAATATTAAATGGTTTTATGGTCTGATCACTTTAGCATTTTGCAGAGTTTGATAGGACAGTTTTTACAGCATTGTCATGTTGACAAATTTAATACTATACTCGACTCATTTTATATGTCAGATTCAATTAACATGACTTGACTGAAATTATTTATAAGTTAATTTTTATATTATTAAGTTTAAAATAGTATGTAAAATTTGTATATTTTAAAATTACATTAAAAGTGCTATTAAACATTAAAAAAAAAAAATTAAAAATTTTGAGAACATTCTAATAGAAATAAGCAATGAAGAAAGAGTTAACTTAACTAATAAATACTAAATAAGACATACTCCGTATAAAATATGACAGAGGGAGTAATTGTTTCAATACTGGTAATTTTAATAACAATTAAGTTAAATAGGAATAAGGTCCAAATTGGCCCCTGAACGAAACGTGAAAGTGCAATTAGGTCCCTGAACGTAAAAAAAAAAAAAGAAAAAGTGCAATTACCCCCCTCAACACCTCAAATATGTGCAATTTGACTTGATAGCAAGTTAACATCCCATCTAGCAGGTTGCATGTGTGACGTGGATGATGACTTGTCATTTTTTTTTTGAAAGATAACTTGGCATTTTTTTTTTATTTCCTTCTTTTGTCTTCTTCTTTACAAAACAACTAACTCTAGCAGTTGTAGTATTCCACCATCGATATCTTCTCTCAAATTTACAAGCAGGATAAATTTCATGAAATATTCAATTTTACATAGTTATATTAACAACGAACAAGTTAATAGCGGGCGTGGTTTGGGAATTTCTCATGCAGGTACACGGTGAATGGAATTTCTAGTGCAGGTACACGATGAATGAAATTTCTGATGCGGGTTTGGGAATTTTGATGCGTGATTTGGGAATTCCTATTGAAGCTTTGCCTTAATACACGGTGAATGGAAGAAAAGGAAATAAAAGGAAATTTTAAAAAAAAAATGCCAAGTCAGCATACACATCATCATATAACCGGTTGGATGGAATGTTAACATGTTATCAGGTCAAATTGCACATATTTGAGATGTTGAGGAGGGTAATTGCACTTCTTTTATGTTCAGAGACCAAATTACACTTTCACGTTTCGTTCAGGGGCCAATTTGGACCTTATTCCAAGTTAAATATTAAATTTAAATTATTTAATATTCAAATGACCGGAGACACTATATTAAGTAAAATACTATACTTAATTAACAATTTAACAGATAAACTTCCCAAATGTTTTTACTTTAATTTTTTGATAATCAAGAAAAAAAAAATATAAAATCACTGATAAAATAAAAGCATTGTATATATATATATATACTATACTATGGTTGGAAATATCGTCAGAAAGAAGTTGCTAGTTTAGCCACCATCAAACCCCGCCAAATCCTAACGCGGCGAATCCCTCCTCCATATCAAACGTTCGCGGGAAATTTTCCGACCAATCTCCGGTGATAATTTTGGTTCGAGTCGTCTCGAAGGCGACGATTAGTGAATGATTAGCAGAGTCGGCGCGCATACTCTGATCCGATCATCATGTCAATCTCGTGCTCCGATTGCTTCTCCGACCTACTCTGTCGTGAGGACTCCGACGTCGTAATCACCGGAGACGGTGAGAACTCGCCGGAATGCTCCACATCGGAATATGAGTCTCTTCCTCCTACGGCGGAGCTCGATGAATCCATCGCCGGCCTTATCGAGAACGAGCAGAATTTCGTCCCCGGGATCGACTACGTCGAGCGCTTCCAATCTCAACCGCTCGACGCCGCCGCGAGAGAAGATGCTATTGCTTGGATTCTCAAGGTAAGCTTCTGCAAAGATCTAGAAGCTTGTAGCTATATTGGCGGCATAGATATCGGCGATTAGTTAAACCTGATAGCGTATCTTAAGTTACCGGTTTTTTCCTAGTATCGGCGATCAATTGGATTAGGCGGCGCAACATTTCAGATTTTTCGGCGTACAATAATAAGTTCCGGAGTTGACGCTTGGCTAACGCCGTTTTTCCGATTCTATGCAGGTTCACCGTTATTACGGCTTCCAGCCACTCACGGCGTATCTCGCCGTCAATTACTTTGACCGTTTCCTCAACCATCATCGTTTGCCGGTAATTTTCACCCCGGGAAAATACGGCCTATAGTAGTTTTCTTTTATTATTTCTATAAATAAATAAAAATATATTAAAGATCTCATTTTCAAATATTTTCATTTTTAACCTTTATCACTGTAGTTTTTTTTTTTTTTTTTTTTTTCTTCTAAAAACAAATCCACCCAAGTTGTGAGGACGGGATATATACTTCAAAACAAGATTCCCTATATTTTTTATAGAGTAATATTATCCCGCACTTTACCCCTTAATTGGGCTGACCCGATACAAATAGAAATTAGTCTGAGTATGGTAGGACCTGCTCAGCTCAGGACATCTCATGATCAGACTAAAAAAAATCATGAAATTCAAAGATTATAAGCCACGTTAGGAAAAAATTTAGGAAGGGTAAAAAACATTTTCCTTTTCTTTTTCAATATAGATTTAAGTTACCTGTAAGAAAAAATGTCAGATGTGTTTTTAAAATTATTTTTTTTCATACTAAGAGAAAATAAAAGTTACAAAAATCTTAACATTGTCATTGTAATAAAATCCTCTATATATAAGACCCCACACCTTTATATATTCTTAAAATTATTTTCTTTTAATCAATAACATAAATTTTTATTTACTATTTATAAATTATCTAACATAATTTATCATACATTATCACACCTTCTATTTTTACTAAAATATCATTAAATAAATTAAATTATATTTTATAATATAATACCAAATTGGTTTCTTAAATTCTTAATCTCCAAATTTGACTTTTCCAATCAACCAATATGACAAGGACTTTAGTGTAAAGTCTTAACTTATTAGCTAAAGTATAGTGTTGGTGTGGTCTTGACGCACACTCTGTGTGTCAGCAACTTTACTAAATTCACACTAATAATTTTAGATATTTTTTTTGTTCACTAGTCTTATAATCATGAAGCAAAATGCACAATAATTTTCTTGTTATTATATTTATGTAAAGCTTTTTTTTAAAAATCATTTTCTTTTTGTCATTTGTGCATAAAATATAAAGAAGCATGCCTCACTAGCAGTGTTAATAATTTATAGGACATGTGACACGTCCATCGGGTTCCTTAAAGCATATGCAAGGATAGGTCCCCTTGTCTCTCCTAATCTAATATAAATTAACCCTTCTAATTCTTTATTTTTTTTCCTTCATAATTTTATTATTCTTAAAGAAGGAAATATATTAAATAAGTGTAATTATTAATGTAATTTTGATCTTCCATAATTTCAGCAAACCAAGGGATGGGCTATTCAATTGTTGTCCGTTGCTTGCTTATCTTTAGCTGCTAAGATGGAGGAACCTCTAGTTCCCCTGCTTTTAGACCTTCAGGTAATTATTTAACTTGCACTTTATGAAAATCTATTTATGGGTGTTTGGTAAATAACAGATTGTGTTAATGGGTTTGACTAATTAATAACATTAGTTAATTGTAGAAAAATATTTGGTAAATTAACTGTTAGAATATAGTTGATTACATACAAAATGATTTTTTAAAAAAGCTGACAAAAAAGCTGCTCAATTTTTATGTTTTGGAGCAATAATCTATTACAAAAAGCTAATTAATCAAACATTTATATGAGTTGTTTAATCAAATCAAATAATTAATAGTGATTAAATAAATCAAAATTGACTGATAAACTAACTTATGTTACTGAACATGATAGTTTCTTATAAGTTTTTGTTGAAAAGGTTGACGGTGCAAAATACATATTTGAAGCGAAGACAGTCCGTAGAATGGAGCTTCATGTGCTGAGTGTATTGAATTGGAGGCTACGATCAATTACACCCTTTTGCTTTCTTGACTTCTTCGCCTGCAAAATTGATTCAATTGGGACTTTTAAACGCTCCCTTATCTCAAGGGCCACAAACATTATTTTATCAAATATCCAAGGTACATCCACCACATCTTTTCTAAATCTCCTAAAATTTCTACAATCAATTGTAATAATTTCAGGTAAAGTTCACTAGTGAGTTGAAACACGTGCCCCTTCTCAATTACTTTTTGATGAATTTCAAATAATATGTGGACCATAGTTTCAAATTGATAATTGGATAATTAGACTGTATATTTACGTTTATATGTATTATATATATATGCTCAAACATTAATTTTTTTTTTTTTTTTTTTACTATTACATAGTTTTTACTCATTATGGAGTTATGTTGCAGAGGCATGCTTGGTGGAGTACAGGCCATCATGTATAGCTGCAGCGGCCACCCTTTGTGCAGCCAATGACTTGCCAGATTTCTCTAGTGTCAACGCTGAACATGCTGTGTCTTGGTGCAATGGACTTCCCAAAGTAATTAACATGTTATAAATTCAATTTATTTCCAATTTTTGTACGGAAACAATTTATAATTCTTAATTTAATTTTGGGCAGGAAGATATCATCAACTGCTACCAATTAATGCAAAAATGCGCCATTGACATTAGGCCAAGGAGATTCCCTAAGGTGTTACCAAAGGTCAGAGTCATGGCTCGTGCGAGTGTTGCATGTCCTGACTTGTCATCTTCGCCGTCATTTTCAACGTATGATAAACGAAGAAAATTGGGTGACAGTTTGTGGACTAATGACGATAGAGAAAGTTCGGGATAAGAAGAAAGTAAAATTGGACTTAAGGTCTATAATCCTAAATACTTTTTTAGTGGTGGGGGGTGGGTTGATGATAGAAGTTTGACAAGAGTGATAATGTAGATTACTACATAGTGGCCGGTATACATATATAATAATGGGGAGTATTTACGGTACCCTATAACGCTAAGTAGGATTTTTATTTTTCTATAATAATATAATAAGTATTTATTTGGATTTTTTTTAATGGTGTGCAGATTCCCGAGGGAAGGGGGTTGGTACATAGTGTTATTTTTTGTGTGAGAAAAGTGGGAGGGGAGATTGTTTTATTTAATAATAATAATAATATATGTAACCACTATACATTATTATTAGTGGGGAGTGATGGAGTGTGTGAAGTGGGAATTGAAGTGATTGAGTTGATGAATTCAAAGGGAGCATTGATTGTTGAATGAAGGTATGAAATTAAGGAGGAGAAGGTGGGGACCGGTTGAGAAAAACCAATGGAGAATAATGGTGGAAAGGTGATGAGAAAATCAATTGAGTTTGGCAATATCAAATCATGAATTGATTCACATCTTGAAGTATGGTTTTTGAAGATTGAATCAATCATGGCTGCCTTCAACTTCTCGTCCCAGGGTAAGGTTCACAGACCATTTATTCTGTACATCCTAATCGTTCTCGACTTCTCTCAGACATGACAAATATAAAATAAGAGATGATTCGTTTTGGTGACGGTGACCGATGGTTTTATATGTGCTCTATCCCTTTTTTTCCTTTGTCCTAACCATATAGGGATATATACTGGAGATTTTTTTTTTTTTTTTTTTGGGTTTTAATTTAATTTTTCTTTATTTGAGTGGTTTTCGTACCTTTGATGGCCTACATTAGGCCTAAACATATGTATACAGTGGGTCTTTGGGGCCTTTTTTAACGCGTGATGTATCTTGATTTATGAAAGCAAATTATTTTTGGGGTTATATATCTCTCTGGATCTGTACTTTACTTCCACCATGCTTTTCAACACTTTCTATAAGTTCTTTCGTAAATAGCTATTAGCCGATTAAGTTAGTGAGTTTGACTAGTTGATAATATTAGTTGATTGTAGAAAGATATTTGATAAATTAGTTGATAGCTGATAACTAATTACATGCAAAATGACTTTCTCAAAATAAAACTGATCAAAAATGATGCTTTAAACAGCTTTTTGAATTTTGATTGTTTAACCAAGTTAAATAACTAATACTGATCAAAAAAGCTAAAACTGACTGATAAACTAATTATGTTATCAAACATGTCAATATTCTTTTCTTCTTTTTTCTTTCCCTGCGCCATAATTCCATAAATACACGTGAATGGCAATGGAGACTTTGTAGCTCTATTATTTGTTTTAAAGTAAATACTCAAAATGGTCCCTCGACTATAGTTAAATTCATAAACTGGTCCTCAACTTTCAATTTCAACCAATTAAGTCCTTAACTTTGTAATTTTGACACAATTTGGTCCTCCATCTATTTGACCGTTTGTTGACCGTGATCAACAATCTCCAAAAGAACCTCCAGCTCTCGTCGAAGCATGTGGAAGCCTCCAGGATGACGTTGCACTGGTTCGGAAACACGTCGTCTTCTTCACCCTGGTACGAACTCAACTACATTGAATCCAAAGGGAGGATGAAGAAAGGCAACCGGATTTGGTAGATTGCTTTCGGCAGTGGATTCAAATGTAACAGTGCAGTCTGGAAATGCAACCAGAACCTTAAAAAATTAACGATGAACCATGAAATTACATATATATCTTCAAAAATCACAGTCAACAAACGGTCAAATAGACAGAGGACCAAATTGTGTTAAAATTACAAAGTTAAGGACTTAATTGGTTGAAATTGAAAGTCGAGAACTAATTTGTGAATTTAGCTATAGTCACTACTGGAAATTATGAAATTTCCGACCACCTGAAAGTGATATTAAATCAAGTTGATACCAAAAAGTGGTCGGAAATAGCAACAAAGGTTTTTCTGGATACTAAAAGTGATAGGAACAAGGTTTTCGACTTGATTTAAGATTACTTTCGGATGGTCGGAAATTCTATAATTTTCAGTAGTGAGTCGAGGGACTATTTTGGATATTTACTCTTTGTTTTATTACAAGGTTTAGAAGGACTTTTAAGAAAGTGTATTCTTCTTAGGATACCTCAATCCCTCAAAGTCAAGAACATGCATCTAAATGCATGTCAGATTCATTATATAATAAATTGTGTCAAATTAAAGACCTTATCTAACAATAACAGTTTATGACTTTATGCACAAGATTACAGATTTATATCATCAAATTAAGTCCTTTAGTTTCAATATGGTAATAATGGAATCAAAAGTAGCCTACAAATAGTATCTTCCTATTACATTCTTTTCTTAAAATTTACCTTTTAATTTGTATCCCTTCTCATCTCATATATTAATCTCTTTTATTAGTTTATATATTTAATTACTATAGGACCAATGAGTTAATTCCATTTTTGTCCTACATTTATAAGTGATATAATCCATTTTAGTCATTTTTTAAGATCTATCATATACCTCTTCAGTCCTAATATTATTGTGACATAACTATTTTTAGTCCTCCATCAACAAAACCGTTTAAATTATGTAAAATACAAGGGCATTTAGATCTTCAATTATGATTTTTTTTTTTAAAAAAATATAGCCAGTCAAGTCACTTTGTATAAAAAGATCGAAATGTCCTTAGCTTGTATTTAAGGACATTTCAACGATTTTCTTGACAGAAGACAAAAATTGATAATGACACAATAATATTAGGACCAAAGAGATATGTTCTGAAAAAAAAAAAAAAAAAAAAGCTAAAAACTTAAAATGGACTACCACCTATAAATCTATGATAAAAATGAAATGCCCGTATGGACAGCTCAACTGGTCATAGAGGTGAAAGTTGGAAAGAACGACTAGGGATCGGGGAGCAACCTCTCAAAGTGAAGGGGGCTCCTTGTGTGCAGTAAGCAAAAGTCTAGTCTCTGTGGTTCATGTTCAGTTTAGTTATCATGATTTACATCCTTCCAAATGCTCTGTCGGACCGAGGTGTAGGGGTTCAATCTTTTGGAAAGAACCATAAAAAATGAAATTAACTCATACAGAACCATAAAAAATGAAATTAACTCATACGGAGTATATAAATTTTTTACATGATTTACATCCTCTCAAATATTCTGTCGAATCAGGGTGTAGGGATTCAACCTTTTGGAAAGAACCATAAAAAAGGGAATTAACTCATACCGAGTATATAAATTCTTTTATGTAATATTTTTTTTAAAAACTTTATAGATATATAATACTGCTTTAAGAGAGGTAAAACAAAAGTGGTGAAAAATAACAAAAAATTTTCCGCTAAAAATAAAGATAGCCAGCAAGGTGTTGGCCCCTCGTGCAAGAAAAGTTGATTGAATCCAGTGAATATGAGCCAACCATATATATTAAAAAGATAGGCATTCTGGTTAGCCACTGACACATATGCTCTACCACGCACTAAAACTCTGTCCCATCTTCATATATCCTTCATGTTCCCTCTCCATATTCATGGGACCATTACATATATAGAGAGCCTCCATCTTAAATTTTATTTTTTCTTTTTAAGTCACCTAGCTAGGCCGAACCTCGGGCTCAACATAGACCTCGGCCTGGGGCTCGGCTTGGGCCCCGGCCCAAGGCCTCGGTCAATGGCACCAGGCGGGGGCCTGACTACGAGTCCAGGCAAGATCCAAGTAGTTATAATTAATTGTAATAGCATTACATGCACAAACATCAATACAATCTTTGTCTCGATCTGTGGCATATATTTCATGTCTTTGTCACTTGGTATTTACTATATTCATTCGTTTATCCTTGTTGTTTAATTAATTGGATTATTTGATACGGGCCACTCAGATCAATTTAATCCATCAGTTTGATTCACTAATGAATCATTCAAACTATATGAATATAATCAACATATATCATGTGATTATCCATAGATGGACTAGGGTTTCAAGGCCAGTGAAAGTGTGTGGGCGAAACCATATAACAATAAAGTAAGGACATGTTTGTTTGTAAGTGTGGGCGAAACCATATAACCTCGAGACTTACTTTGAATTGGCATAAAAGATTAACAATGGTTATACCAGGGAGGCGACCAGATCCATTTTGCACTGTGAATCCTGATCCAAAACAACATTATATTTAGATTATGTGTATGTAATTAATATATTATGTGATTTTCAATTAGTAGATTATGTACCTACTACAATTAACATATATTATGTGTCTGCAGTTAATAAAGTATGTATATACAGTTAACATATTATGTATCTTTAATTTATTTATAGGTGCATAATCTATTAACTGAAGGTATATAATATGTTAACTACAAGGACTGCAAGCACATACTTTGAATATCATTTTGGACCTTAGGTTTAGGGATTATATGATCTTTTCCTCGATTAAAAGTTGTGAGTAATGGTAACTCGTTGGCCTTTAATTTTCACATGGTGCATTGTATTAATTCAAAAAATTAAAGTAGTATGAAAGTTGGAGTGAACATTTACATATGAGGAAGAAATATGATGAATTATATTGATTATGCCGAAAGGGCGTTCAATCCCTATATTGATTATGGTGCCTAAAATTAGGTGGACCGCCTAATGGCTGCAAAAATTGACATTTTTTGGTCAGATAAACAAAGGAAAATGATCTTCCAATTCTATGCCAATTTCTCATTGCTATGGACCCTCTTCTCCTACACCTTTTTTTGAGTATACTGACTCGGTTCTTCTCCTACACCTATTATCGCATATGCTTAGGACAATCAAATTGCTATAATATTAATTTTAGGAAGAACAAAGTTACAAACATTAATAAAGTTATTGCCTTTGATTTACGTACAAGTCCACAACAAATATTGAAAAGTGTGCTTTGAAGAATAATGAGACCTGATTTATGATTCTAGCTGGCGAAAAGATCACAAGAAGGTAAACTAATCTAAGTTTGACATAACTAATCGACTCAAACTAAAAATGTTAGATGGATAACTCTTATAAGCAATTAACTGAATTAAGTTAATACCAGGACTATGTGGTCCAATGGTACTCGGGTTGAACTTCTATTTGGAAGATTATGAGTTTGAGCCTCAGTAGAGGCGTTATTGGTTCTTTGTGTTTCAGTAAGTTGCGAAAGTATATGATCAGACACTACAATGTAATAGAGCCAGAAGCTTTCACAAAAAAAAAAGTTATTACCATCAAGTTCAATTTAATGTCCTTGAAGTTTTTTCTAACATTGTGGTTCCCACCATTAAATAATACTCCGTCAATTTTGTTAGTTAGATTGTGGAAGGGTTTAGACGATCTTGTATGGTATATATATATATATATATATATATATATATATATATATATATATACAAAATTTAAAAAATTAGTTAAAATTATGTTTTGTAATTTCTTAAACTGATGATACTTTTGAATTATCATATATTTGAATAATATAGTGATCAAAACAAAAAAAAAAATTATACTTTTATATAATAATAATTTACAAATAATACTAAGCTAACACTCACATATATGATATATTGATATGGATACACAAATAATATACATACATACATATATATATATATATATATATATATATATATATATATATATATAATTTAACATTCATATAAATATTTAATTAAAATATAATTTATAATTAAATTAATTGTTATATGATCATTTTAATAAAATTATAATTAAAAATAGGAAAAAGATATAATAGATGTAGGTGTATGGTAAGATTGGTAGATACATTAAAAATTAACGGTGTAAGGGTGATTTTGTCCAATGCAAATGAATGTACAACAATTAAAGCACAATGTATACATTTATTAGCATATAAAAAAGGGACAAAAATTAAGGACATAACTTGTATTGACACTTATTATGTTTTTAGATATAT